CTGGCAACCTAACCACTACACTAAGATCGCCAGACCTAAGTGTTTATTATTGTTTTACTTGAATCACAATCTATTCACTTAACAAGTATATTTGTAAAAAATAAAGGTAAGGTTTAAGTCAAATAAATATAATATGCAACAAATTATAAAGGCTATGTTTTTGCTGAATAACAATATGTATAGTATCAAAAATACAGAAGTTTTAAGAATGACATGAATAATGCTGAAAATATAGAGAACACAGATGACTTTGATAACTGGAGTAACAACACTGAAGATATAAAGAGTACAAACTATCTCAAAAATATAAAAAATATAGCTACTACTATTTCAAAACATCTTGTTAGTAATATGAACGATGCTGAAAAGAAGAATATGAATAATTATCATGACAGGAATTTTGAAAATATAGAAAATAAGGCTACTACTTCTCAAGTAACATCATTTATTAGCAGTACTGAAAGTAATATATTGAGATTATTTACTAGAAAAGTATTATCGAACTAGAAAATATGTGACTTATTTATTATTGAATAGGATAAAACTAATAGATTTAATATTATAAAAGACTGTATTGATTATAAAAATAATATTATTAGAAGAAAAACTTATATTTATCAATATGGTCGATATTATGAATTCAACTCTAATAAAGAAACAGGCACTAAAAAAATGTGATGCCTATGGCATATAAATGTTTCTTGTCTCAAAAATAAAAATCCAAGTTCTGCAGTTTTTATCAATAAGGTTATAAATAAACATAATCATAAGTTAAACATTGATGCTATTTTATTTGAACATGAAAATAGGTTCAGTATAGAAATAATAGATGATATTGAGTTTTTAATATAGTATTGTAGAATAAGAGCAACAAATCAGAGAAGATATCTAGAAGATAAATATCCTTCTCAATTTATTTATAATAATGATTTGTATGCTGCTATTAGCAAATTTTGACTTACCAACAAGTATCTCTTAAATGATGTTGCATAAATATTTAACTGGCTTGATAATCAGAAAGAAAAAGATCCTAGATAGATAGTAGCAAGAGGATGAGATGATGACAATATACTTACATATCTGATGTGGATAATACCAACTCAGATAGAAAATTAGATACAATTTAGTAATTGTGTCATAAATAATATTATATATAAGACGAATAGGTATGAGATACCCTTATTATTGTTTATAGAATTTGATAAGGATAGACAAAATATTCTTCTTGTGTAAAGGCTAGTTGCAGATGAAAGTAAAGATTCATATGTTTGATTTTTCAAACAAATTCTCAAAGCAACTAATATTCAGCTAACTGTAATGTTAACAGATTTAAATTCTGCAGTTGATGCTGCTGTAAAAGAAATTTTCTTAATAATATACCTAATACATTGTGCATTTCATATTATACAAAACTTTCATAAAAATCTTCGAAGTTTAATTGGAAGTTAGTATAGTAGTTTCCTCAAGGACTTCTATCTATATAGAAATAGTTTAGTTAAGACCACCTTTTATAATTGATTTACAAAGTTAATTGATAACTATTCTAAGAGTAAGTCTTATCTGAACAATCTGTTTTAAACAAAAGAATATTGGGCTCATTCATATACAAGTTTTAAATTTATCGAGGAAATAATTTTAATATCAAGAGTTGAAAGCATGAATATATGCTTTAAAAGATTATTATATAATTCTTTTTTTTTTTTTTTTTTTTTTTTTTTT